ATTCAGACATGGGAAGTGAAGTTCAGGCTCTTCCTTTGGAGGAGAGACATGTGATGCCTAAAAGTACCCCTTTGGTAGGAAAAACATCAAGCACTGCTAGTTTTAATGATTATTGTAAGCCTCTCAAGCCCTTATAGAAGTGTTGTCAACTGTCAGAGGTTTCAGATTTCCAGCCAGTTAGACTCTTACTCTGATTTTTGACTGAGGCAGTCACCAGTTAACAGGTCATAAGTAGTGAGGCTGGATGTAACTCATCTAGGCCTATGCATCTATTCTCTAATGTCCCAAGGAGTGGCTACCTCTTTCACTTTTCATCACTAGGTTTTGCTATCTGGGAGGATATATGACGTAGTAAGAAGCACATGGGCTTTGGAGTTAGCTAGACCTAATTTAGAACCCTGGCATCTCCACTTACTACCTAGAGGTTCGTGAATTTGTACTTTTTATCTTGAAGTTGAGGATAACAACATTAAGTTATTTTGAACTTTAGTCATCATTGTTAAAAATATCATCATCATTATTAGTGGCTACCATTGATTGACCTCTTTAGTAGTTATAAGGAACTGTTTCAAGTGCCTCACACCGATTAGCCCATTTAACTTTCTCAACAACATATTAAAAGGTGTATATTATTATTCCCATTTAAAACATCTAGCGTGCCAGGCATATTATAGGTGCATGAAATTTATCATTTAATAACAATATTATTATCTTTCAGAGTAAGAATTCTCCAAATATTGTTGGTTTAAAATTTTATTTCAAAGAAAAATAATTCTAGAATGTTATCACTGAAAGGAATTAACTTGACTTTATCTTGTGGAGTGATTTCCATATTTTTAAGCCAGAAACTGTCATTAACATGATCAATATGGGCCGGGAGCAGTGGCTCACGCTTGTAATCCCAGCACTTTGGGAGTCCAAGGCAGGTGGATCACGAGGTCAGGAGTTAGAGACCAGCCTGGCCAACATAGTGAAACTCCATCTCTACTAAAAATACAAAAATTAGCTGGGTGTGGTGGTGTGCACCTGTAGTCCCAGCTACTTGGGAGGCTGAGGGAGGAGAACTGCTTGAACCCAGGAGGTGGAGTTTGCAATGAGCCGATATCATGCCACAACAACAACAAAACAAAAAAAAAGCCCATGATCAATGTGTCAAAAATATAAAAGCATAACTATTCTATTTGAATCAGAGACAGAGTTGAACCCTGTGTAACAACTCATCTGTGCCTAGAGCCCTGAGGAGCACAGTTTAAAAATTACTAATTTTATCCATTCTCCATATACATACCTAGAAAAGCAAAGTGATTTATACTGTTTGTTAGCTGCAGACCCTAAATTATAAATTAGATCTCCTGACTTCTAGATCCATTGTTTTCTATGAGATCACAGTATGTGATAGAGCATAATTATTGTTTACTAAAAGTCCTGATTTAAGGATGATAAAGCATCTTTATCATATTTGAACTTCACAAATTTTATGGTAGATGTTACCTATTCCTTCTAGTTCACCTAAAATGCTGCATAATTTTCTGGAACATTTGGTGGCAATGGCAGTAAGGGGGAAAAAACAACTGGAGACCAGAATATAGAAAGAGGGTGATTCCATTGAAGTAAGCAAGTACAGTGGAGTTGGCATTTGCCCTGAGTGCAATTTCTAGTCTCTGGTGGTTTAAAATCTGGCTTCTAATGGACACTGTGTAAGCAGACAGGAGACAGCCTGGGGCGAGTATGAGAAACATAAGTCAAGAACCTTAAAGGATGAATCCCTCCATGGGTGAACTAGGAAAAATCCACTCTGTACAAGGAGACTTGCCTGTCAGTCTTGACTCTAGATGGAGGTCTGCAGGAGAAAATCTTGTATTCCTGAAAGCTTAGGGCTGGACTTTATTCCACTTGTGTGACTCAGTCTTCAAGCCCTAAGACAAAAATGTAGTTGAAAGTCATCTTGGGTTGACAGTTCACTCAGACCCCAGACAGAAGGAAACACAAATCCTCTCCAAAGAAATGCAGTTTAAAAACCAAAACCTCAAATAATTCTCACAGATTAAATTCCAAAAAATATGAGCTTACAGATAGAAGAATCACTCAAAGCACAAGAGAATAAGCCATCATGCATGCTACTCAGCATAAACAACAAATGGCAAAAGTAGATGCAGAAAGCCTGAAGATATTAGAATTATCAATATAAGATATTTATATGTAACATGTTTAAAGACTTTTTTTAAAAAGGAAATTTAAAAAATGAAAGAATAAGAGACTATCAAATTTGACTAAGCAGATTGAAAAATAATGAAATAGGATTCTAAAAATAAAAATACAGCAAGTGAAATTAAAAACGATGTGGGTAACTGAAAGAGAATATGACACAGCCCAAGACAGAATTAACTGGTAGATACATCTGGAAATGATACAGAATTCAGCATAAAGAAAAAGAAACAGAAGATATGAAAGCAAGTCTAAGTAACATAGATGAGAGCTTGAGAAGAAAGAACATTTATCTAATTGGAAGTCCACAAAGACAAAATGGAGAAAAACGTGGAAAGGGAATGTTTAAAGAGACAATATCTAAGAATTTTCCAAAATGATAAAAGATTTCATCATTTTTCAGATTCAAGAATCCCCCCAAATCTTAAATACAAATACATTTATACCTACATACCTTAGATTAAAACTGAAAAAATATAAAACAAACAAACCCCAATCAGGCTGGGTTTGGTGGCTCATGCCTGCAATCCTAGGACTTTGGGAGGCGGAGAGGGTGGGGAAATCGCTTGAGCCTAGGAGTTTGAGACAAGCCTGGGCAACAGAGTGAGACTTCATCTCACACACACACACAAAAAAATGAGTTGGGCCTGGTGGCACACACCTGTAGTCCCAGCTACTCAGTTGCCGAGGTGGGAGGATCACTTTAGCCCACGAGGCTGAGGCTGCAAAGAACAATGATTGTGCTATTGCACTCCAGCCTGGGCAACAGAGTGAGACTCTGTCTCAAAATAACAATAAAACCCAACCTAACGCACAAATAAAGATCTTAAAAGCATCCACAGAGAAAGGGGTTGCCACATATAAAGGAATGACTATTAGATTAATAAGTGACTCAGCAGCAATAATAGAAGCCAGAAAACATGGAATGACGTTTTCAAAATGTTGAGATAAAATAACTATACTCAGTAAAACTATTTTTTTAAGTATGAAGATAGTCTAAAGACACATTTAGACGAATTGAAATTGAGCAGAGTCACTATCAAAAGGTACTGTAGGAACTTCTGAAGGCTATATTAGGAAGAAAAATTTCTTTGAAGAAGTAGCAGGGAACAAGAAAGAATGTTAAGCAAAGAAAATGTTGAATACGAGGCTAAAGAGTATGCCCCAGGAAGCATGTTTAAGAATGTTTTTAGCAGCTTCGTTTGTCAAGGAAAACCTGCAAATAGCTCAAATGTCCATCTATAGTATAGGCATACCCCAGAGATACTATGGATTCGGTTCTACACTATGGCCATGAAGCGAATATTGCAATAAGTGAGTCACACAAATTATTTTTGTTTCCCAGAGTGTTTAAAAGTACTGTCTGATGCCATTTTACTCACTGGAAAGTCTTTCAAAATTGGTGCTGATCCTCCTGCTTTGTCAACTAAGTTTATATACTATTCTAAATCCTTTGTTGAATGAATGAACCCATAGCTAAAGGCATTCACATGGATGAATAGAGAAAAGCACCCCATAGTATAATAAAAATAAAATGGATGTGGTGTGGATGTGGTGAACAGGGAGCACTTCTACACTGCTGGTGGGAATGTAAACTAGCACAATCACCATGAAAAACAGTGTGGAGATTCCTGAAAGAACTAAAAGTAGAACTGAAAGTAGAGTTTGATCCAGCAATCCCACTACTGGGTGTCTACCCAGAGGAAAATAACTCATTATACTACAAAGATACTTGCACATGCATGTTGCTAGCAGCACAGTTCACAACTGCAAAGACGTGGAACCAACCCAAATGCCCATCAGTCAGTGAGTGGATAAAGAAACTGATATAGATGATGGAATACTACTCAGCAATAAAAAGGAATGAATGAATGTTATTCACAGCAACCTGGATGAGATTGGAGACCGTTATTCTAAGTGAAGTAACCCAGGAATAGAAAACCAACCATATGTTCACGTTCAAAAGTGGGAGTTAAGCTATGAGGATGCAAAGGTATAAGAATGACATAATGGACTTTAGGAAGTTAGGGGGAAAGGGGCATGGGGTTGAGAGAGAAAAGACTACAAATAGGATGCAGAGTATACTACTCAGGTGATGGGTGCACCAAAATCTCACAAATCACCACTAAAGAACTTATGTAACCAGACACCGTCTGTTCCCTGGAAACCTATGGATATAAACTATTTTTTAAAAAAAATACCATAGAAGATATGTACGGTATGATTTCCCTTATAGGAAGTTTAAAATGGGCAAAGATAAATGGTATATTGTTTAGGCATAAACACAAATATGTAGTAAAGCTATAAAAAGCTGCAAGGGAGTGATGAACTCAAAATTGAGGATAGTTATCTCTAGTGGCTGGGAGGGAGATTCATTGGGGAGGGAAATTAAGGAGTTTTGATAATCTGGCTGTATTCATTTTATTTTATATATTCATATATATTAATTTTATGTACTCTTTGTATTTTAAATTTTACAAGAAAACAAGTACAAAAAGAGTAGTCATGTAAGAATGTAGTGAGAAGAGGATGCAGGATCAGCATGGATAAAAGCATTCAGGCAGGAACAGTCTTCGCAAATTTGAATATGGGTAGGGTAAAGCCTCTTATGCCTGGGACAGCCCAAAGTTTCCTATATCTATTCTGCCACTTTCTTATCCAGTTTATCCTTACATACTGCCAAAGTGTATTTTCCTGCATAGTGACGTATAAAAAAAAAAAAGTTACATACTTTATTTTGGGGAGTTACTTTATTTCTTTCTTTTCTGTTGTACAATTTTATTTGTTTTTTCTAGGTCATAACTTTTGTGCAGAAGGACCTAAATGTGGTGAAAACTCAGAGTGCAAAAACTGGAATACAAAAGCTACTTGTGAGTGCAAGAGTGGTTACATCTCTGTCCAGGGAGACTCTGCCTACTGTGAAGGTAAGTACGCTATTTCATGAAGTCACTTGTGAGAGGTTGACTGAGAAGTGTATTCCTGGTAGGTGTGGTTAAAGAGTGAAAACTGTCACTTGGCTCTGGTCCTATGCAATCCTATAAGAAATCATATCAATTGCTGAAGGTTCTGTGTTCTCCTGGTTTATCCATACTGTTCAGTAGCATGAGAAGGCAAGACCTTTGAAGGCAGTTATGAAACACAGCAAAGAAACAAAGGCAACAGGGACATATCAAATCCCATGTTCTGCTGCTGTGCACATAACAATCACTAGATCAACCATAGACACATCATATTCTCTTTTCTTATTTGATGAGATTGCCATCTTCATATTTAATTAAATGTACATGGTGGATTCTGTTTTCGAATGATACTTTGACATTAACTCATACTAAGCTGCTATCTCCTTGACCTGACAAGATCAGGTTTGTATTCTTTTTAGTGGGTTTCTTAATGACTGATTCATGCATTGCCAATTCCCAATGTCTACTAAAAGTCACAGTGATGGAGGGACTCATAACTTTGGCACATGGGCTGACGCCATTACAGTGGGATGGTGGCCTCAAGCATCAGTGACCCACATTTCTGCTCTAGAGAGAACAACTCCTCCATCTTAAGAGAGCACCGTTTTTTCAGGCTCAGTACTGCAACCTGCTAGTGGTGAGCATTGCACATCCCTATTACCTTAATGTGCCAGGGGAGTGGGAGTTAGTTCGACCTGGTCTATATGTATAGTGCCATAATATCTGAGCCCATCCATTTCCAATGTGCTCATGGCTCCCTTCCATCAGTTTGCAAAAGCTTTAATAAGCAAAGTGATGGCTGGACTATTTTTCTGTTTGTTCTAGTTCCAATTATTCCTGTTGTCTTCATTAATGATACATTGCACCATGATGATTTGGGTAGTTGTCTTCAATGAATGCTGCAAAATTCTGGTCACTTTCCTCTGAGTGTTTTAGCTCTCAAATAGGTCAGGTATTCTAAAGGTAAAGGCAGTAATAACTGATGATAGTAATGGTGAATTTCTTACTATTCTGCTGTCTCATAGTTGACCCTTGAACAACACGGGTTTAAACTTTGCATGCCCTCTTATACATGGATTTTTTTCAACCAAACACAAGTCAAAAATACAGAATTCGCAGGATGCAAAACCTGCCTATATGGAGGGCCAACTTTTCCTATACAGTGGGTTCTGCAAAGCCTACTTTGGGATATGAGTATGTGTAGGTTTGGGTATACACAGGGGCCTACAACCAATTCCCTGCATATACCCAGGAATGGCTATATCTTGCTAATCCCTGCTTAACATTTTGGCTTTGACTAAAGACCTCTAGTTGTCAAGAGGATGTATCTTATTACTACCAGAGACCAGTACCTTGTAGGAACCCTCTGTTGTTTTTTTTTTTTTTTTCATTTCTTCTGGAAGACTTTGTTTGTTACTACCATAATTTTTATTAACAATATATTATAATATATAATAATTTTGTCTTCTTATTTTTCACCCTTTTTTTTGGCTGGTTTTATGGATTTGAAGTTTTAAGGAGACATGCCACTTGGGAGAATGAAACTGCCCCTTCACTTATGATCCTTTTCATCTTCCCTTTAATACATCTTAGTTATTTGTTAATTTGGGGTGATGGGAGTATCAATTTCAACACTTCATATTAATATTTATGTTTAGATCTCATGCTATTTTCTATCAGAAAATTTAAGTAATTTTAAAAGTTAAAAATGTGAATATTCCCACTATTTACCATGGAAAAATCCTATAAGCCACATAATAGTCTAAAATATGTACCTTCTCACCTTTTCTTATATGCAGGGATAGACTTTGAACAATTATAAAAATGATAGAAGGAACCTCAAAAACAATGTGAATCCTGATTACACCACTTGCAGACCTTTTAGTTGTTCGTCGAAATCAGCGTAGCCAACATTCCTGGCCCCACTTCTCTGTCGAGACCTGGCAGAATATGGGAGAAAACTGCTGGTGCTAATGCTGTTTGGGACTCTTTGATTCATTTCTCATTGATATCGTTTTTTATTACAAAAGATTGGCTCCATGAGGAGCCACCTGCAATATCAATCTGCTCTTTCTCTATGAGGCCTTATTTTATAATGTTGAGTGGTTTTTAGGTCTGAATCGCTGTTTTCTTTTCTTTTTTTTTTTTTATAATATCATATTTTTATTTTTATTTATTTTATTTATTTCTTTTATTTTTTAATTTATTTATTATTATTATACTTTAAGTTGTAGGGTACATGTGCATAACGTGCAGGTTTGTTACATATGTATACTTGTGCCATGTTGCTGTGCTGCACCCATCAACTCGTCATTTACATCAGGTATAACTCCCAATGCAATCCCTCCCCTCTCCCCGCTCCCCAGACGTGCTCCTGTTTAGCTCAGTGTATGAGCCTGGCCTTAGGCCAGTTTGCATTGTGGTGCTATTGCTGTTGGGTAATGGCAATGTGACTGGGCTTCAGTCGTTTCCCTGTTGTATGGAGACTTTCCATAAGCTCCAGGGGACGTGTTCTTGGAGAGAAGGATAGCACCTGAGGAGAAATGGCTAAACATTGGACCCCTTCTAGCATGCAGGAACAGAACTCATGGGTTAGAGCTGGGGTCAAATACTGGGCATCTGGCTGTGAGGCACAGAGCACCCAGTAGAGTGAATGCCAACATTTAGAGCAGATGCCTTTCTCTCATTCCTTCTGCCATCTTCAGCATTTGAACTTTGATCTTTGGGCTTATTTTTCCATGATTGCATGATGACTTCCATAGCTCTAAGCATTGTACCCTGACAGCAGCATCCTAAGCAAGGAAGAGAGGAAGGGGCAGGGCTTAAAAACCTTGTCTGTGTGAAGTTCTGTCATTTTATGCTCAAAGTAAGTCCTTCCTAGAAAGCCATTCCCCCACTCTACCCCTATTACCACCATAACCACATACAGAAGACTTCCCCTGTGTTATTTTTCAGACCCAGGTTACACCACTTCTATCCTCACCACACACACACTTGTAGACCGATGTGTGAGAAAGGAGAATGAGATGGCTGTCACTGGTTTGGGCTAATTGTGTTTATTCCCTGGAGCTGGAGGAGAGGTTTGTCTTCCTGAAACCAAATAAGCTTTGCCCTTTTCAAAATAGGGTTTTAGCAACCATTCTTTTATGGTTACCTTTAGATGAATTAAATGAGATAAATGATCATGGAGGCCATTTCCCTAGCTCTCTCTTAAGATTTGCCCTTTGAAATGATCGGATAGACAAGCTTACAGGTGGCCAAGTGCCCTCCTAGGAACAGAGACTCTCTGAGGCTGCATTCATTGTCTCTCCACAGCCTAGAAAGAAGTAAATACTTATGAGCTGCTTGAAGCAAGTTATTTTTACTCGGAGTAAGTGGGATGAAAATGACGCGTATGATAAAAGCCACAATGAACAAGAGTGGTTTGCGAATTAAAACAAAATATTACACACATTGTCCAGGCCATCTTGAAAAGCCTATTCAGGCTCTCAGTGGAAAAGGAAGCACAAAAGGCTTTCAATTTCCTTAACTTCCTAAGTTAGAAGCAGAGAGGTGGCATATTGCAGGCTCCTGCTCTGTAGAGATTGTTGTAGAAACTGCCACAGGGAAACTAGCTGAACTCCTGGCCAATCAATAGAAGACAATAAGACCTTTTGTCGGCTGTGATACAGTTCACAGGAGGCTGTTTCATTTTGCCTCTTCTGACTCCAGTAGGAGGCTTCCCCATTTTGAAAACTGCTCTAGTTGGATTATAATGTTTCAGGAATCTTGTCGGCTGAGGCTTTTTCCCTTCGTAATGACATTTTCAACAGGTTGGTCTTAAGTAGTTTCTGATGCATTAGAAATAGTGTCTGAGGAAAGTATAGCAACAGGGGTCCTACTCATGATCTCAATTCTTGAATTTGGAGTCTACCTAGATAGAGTCTCCTAAACTTTTTCTTCCTGTAGTAAAAAGTTACTTAGGAGCATAAAGAACAATGTAATATATACATCATGCCATCTGTCAGGCATGGAAAGCACTACAATTAACATTAAATGGTAATACCTTTTACATGCGAGTGTTTTGAATTTGTCAGACTCCTTTTATGTATGTTACACTTTTTGAACCTTACAGTAAATCTGTGAGACAGTTGCAGCATTGGCCAAATTAACTCCTTTTTATGAATACAGACACGAGGGCTCAGAGAAATGAAGTAAAAAGTTCATCCTCAACTCATTTCTACTCCAGAGCTTTCTGCCCGACTTACGCTGCTCCCTCTCCTTCCACTGCCCACACTGTTCCAATACTGTGTTAGCGTTCAAAATGTTGGTTGCCCTCCCAATTTTGCCGACATCAGTTTTGGCTAATGAAATGTGAGTAGACATGATATGTAGTTTCAGAGTAGAACCTCAAGGAGCTTTTGCAGAATTCCACATCATTCTCTTTTCTCACTGAAACAAAAACTGGCAGTGTTCCAGGTCAGGGCTTCTCCTTTAGCTGACGTCCCAGAATGAAGATGACATGGAACCGTATGACAACTGACAGGTGATGGATATGTGGCATGTGTGAGAAATAATCTTCTATGCCACTGACATTTGTAGGATTTGGGGGTGGGGAGTTATATTACCTTGTGCATAATAGCATAAGCCTACTGATATGTTTTCCTGAATTAATGGATCCAACTTTTGTGGGTTCAGAAGGATACCAAAATTCAGAGCTCACAACTGAAAGCAGTTTTTAATAGAGCAAGCATTGAGAGTTACCAAAGTACAAATTGTTGAGTCATCAGGAGTTTGCTCTGGCACTGCTGCCAAGCAATAGACTTTTTACAGACCACAAGTTATAAATTAGCATTTTGTTATGCCAAATTCAACATGGTAAATGGATTTCCCAATTAAGATGATAATGAAACAATGCATGTCAGAAATTTAGCAAATTGTCTGGTATTCCCTAAATATTGAATAGATCACAGTTATTATTTTTA